GCAGAAGGCGCGCGGGCAGCGGCGGCTTCAAGGTCCTAGGACGGCAGCGGACGTCGAAGCAGCCGCAGCACAGGGGTGGCCGCCGGTCAAAGGAGGGGCCGCCGCAGCCGCCCGTGTCAAGCCGCTTCAAGGGGGTGACGCAGCAAAGGAGGACCGGCCAGTGGCAGGTCCAGGTGGGGCGGCAGCACGGCCTGCTGCAGTGCGACTCATGCACCCACGCACGGGAACATGGCGTGTACGCGCGGGGCTGGGCTGTGCGTTGCGGGCTGCGCGACTGTCGCGCGGTCGGTCCCTGCTTGCGTGCAGCGCTGCACGGCCGCCGCGCAAAGCTCTGCTTGAGCATGCGAGTTGGCTGAGAAGCTGCTCGGACGGCCGCCGCGGTCTCCCATGAGCCGGCGGCCGGCCTTTAAAGGGCGCGCATGCCCTGGTCAAGAGCACCGCGCCGAGGCGTTCATGCATGTGGCGCACGCACCCCACCGACCTTGAACCCCTCGCCTCCACACCCGCAGATCTGGGACAGCGGCAGCGGCGGGCTCAGCGGCGGAGAGGCGGCACGGGTGGTGGGCGGCCGTGGGAGGCAGCTGCATCTGGGGGCATACGACAACGAGGAGGAGGCTGCCAGGTGCGCGCTGGTGCCACGGACACGAACGTGAAAGATCTTGCGCGCGAGCTTCAGACGCTGAGCGTGCTGAGCGTGCTGAGCGTGCTGAGCATGCTGAGCGTGCTGAGCGTGCTGAGCGTGCTGAGCGTGTTGTGCAGTACCCCACGGTCACAGGCCCCAAGCATCCCTGCCAGCTCAACAAGAGCAGGCTCATCGCAACCAACACCGGCAGTTGCAGAATCGGACGATCATCCAACACCGTCACCACTCCCTAAATCTGTGCTTCCATAATTCATCCGTCTGCCCTTTAAGCAACCCCGCCACTGGCCCCTGTCCTATCCTCCTCAAGGGTGTACGACCGCGCCGCCCTGGCCTTCTTCAAGCTCGACTCGGCGCTCAACGTGAGGTTCAGGCCGAGGGCGGGGCGGCTGCTTGCAGGCGGCAGATGCGTTGACAGGACATGAGCCACGCAGGCATGCGTTTGCAGCCGCGATGGCGGCTGCGTGCTGTGCGAGGCACCGGCATTGCTTCACGACTGCACACGAATACGGGCGCTGCAAGTTGCTGGGCAGCCGGCGGCCATCCATTTTTGGCGACCACGCATGTGCCCGCGCCTCCTTCATTTGTCAAGTGACGCGCCTCCTCCTCTGTAGCGCAGCCGCTGGAATACAGAGGCGGAGGCGCATCACTAACACCTGCGGCAGCATCGTATTTTTGCCCCACCCTGCCCTATTGCCAAAGCTACTCTCCATCCTCGTCCTTGGCTACGCACGCGTGCGCGCGCGCACACACGTACACACACACACACACACGTACTTGAACACATATACACACACACACGCACGCACGCACGCACGCTGCTACAACCAGTTCCCTGTCGCTGACTACGAGGAGGAGCTGCCGGAGCTGCTGGCCACGACTGACCGCTCCCAGGCCGTCTCATCCCTCAGGGGGTGCGTCACGCAGCTGGGGCGACCCGTCTGGCACTCATCTGCATGCGACCGGCATATACATCAACATGCGTGCAGCAGGCCAAAAGCTGGGCAGCCGGCGCTATCTGCTGCTTGGCGTGACTCTTGGAGCCACGCGATCCCAGGCGCATGCACAAGTACATCGACCGGACTGGGGAGCATTCCGTGGGGATGAAGCGGCAGCCGCCTCGAGGATCGACCGAGTCGCATCCGCCATCCAACGCATGCTGATCTTGGCCCAGTCAACGCCATCCCAAACCCTGAACGAAGACGCTTCATACACGCGCTGCGGCGCCCCGCTGACGCATGCAGGCGCTTCCAATACGGCAGCCCTTGTGCCAGCAGTAGCCGCTACCGGGGCGTGAGCCTGCATTCGACCGGTCGCTGGGAGGCGCGCGTACGTCTGGCGCCACCAGAGGCGGGGAGATGCTGCGTGGCGGCGTGCGACATTGGGCCACAAGCGGTGAGCCTTGCTGCTGCACACGCCTGCCTGGTGGGTGCCTCAAAAGTCACTGGCTTAAGCCAGCTTGCGGGTGTGTTGACGCCTGCCAGTGGTGCCAGGCAGCATCCATTTGCGCGTGTGGCATGTGCTTGGTGGTGTGCAGATGACGTTCCCTGGAGCAGCCACCTGCAGCAGCTGGTTGCGCGCCCTTGCTCGCAAAACCCCAGCGGCGGCATCAGGCGGGCTGAACCTCACCGCAAGCGTGCGGGCCACCGCTTGGCCACTCTCGTCCCTCGCTGTGCAACACTCACTCTCGACGAGGCCTCAGCAAGCACTTGTCGAATCAAGCAGCGCTGCAAGTGCGCTGTACGTTGCACGCGCGACGTGACCATCACCCATGCTTTCCTCCTGCACTGCTGCAGTTGCTGGGGCTGTTTGACACCCAGGAGCAGGCTGCCACCCCATATGATGCGGCGGCCGCCCGCCTGCACGGCTCAAGGGCTTCTCTCAACTTCGGCCCCAGCGGGAGGCCCGCCATGCCGGCAGCCAGCCCGGGCCTGGCAGCAGCGGCGGCTGTGGGTGAGGCGGCGGCTGTGGCCTTTGCTGTGCAGCAGATGACAACGGCTGCGGCAAAGGCGGAAAGAAGTCAGCAGCAGCGGCAGCAGGAGGCGGAGGAGCAGCAGGAGCAAGAGCAGAGGCAGCAGCAGGAGCAGCAGCTGGAGGAGGAAGAGGACGCAGACCATACTCTCCAGCGCAGGAAAACCTGGGAGGGCGACTGCCAAGCAGCGCAAAGTGGGAGGGCAACAGGCCCACATCAGCCAGCTCTGCGCGGCGGGGCGGGTGGCAGGGCCGCGCAGCCGAGAGCTCAGGGGCAAGGTCCTGGCGAGGGTGACAGCGGAGTAGCTCCTGCGCCAGTTGTGGCCTCGGCCACTGCACGCGCCGTGGCCCACGTCCTGAGCGGCGCCGCAGCCACCAGACGGCGGCCAGCTATCACAGAGCGGCGGCGGCCGCGTTCAGAGGGCAATGAGGCTGAGTGTTACAAGTGTGGGGTTGGGGGCACGGGGCCTGGTGAGGGCAAGGCGAGGCGGCTCGAGGAGGGCCACGCGCAGCCTGCCGCGTGCCCCGCCACGTGCACCACTGCCGCCGCCGCTGCCGGTAGCTTGCCGCAGTCCGCGAGGGATTGTGTTGCGAAGCCGCTGGCTTCAGGAGACCAGAGCTTTGCGCGCAAACGGCGCGCTATGGTGGACTGCAATTGTGGCGGCGGCGGCGGCAGCAGGGACAGCAGCCGCGGCGCAGGCTGTGCGGCGGGGCTGGCGCACACCCTGGTGGCATTGGCCACTGCAGCAGGCGGGAAGGATGACGGGCTTGACCTCCCACCGGTTGACTGGCCTTGCAACAGCAACGGAGTTGCCGCCGCCCCGGTGCTGTGGCAGGTGCGGCCACTGCAGCAGCTTCTCACGCAGCCGCCCAGCCGTGTGCCCCTCTTCCTCGGACCCTGGTTTGGCGGCGACGGCGCGGCTGCAATCGCTCTCGGGACCACCAGCGGCCCTGCGATCGCAAATGCGGGAACCAGCGGCGCCGGGCTGAAGGCAGCAGAGTTTGTACATCCAATACTACGAACGACGCCCGGACTGATCGGACTGGTTGCAGATTCCAGTCTCGGAGACCTGCAGGCTGCCGGCCTCTCCGCCGGCCTGGCGACCACTGAGGACGGCAATGACAGGGACGCAAAGGCGCAAGCGGCTGCTGAGGCCGCGGCCGCCGAGGCGGCAGCGGCAGCGGAGGCGGCTGCGGCGCTCACGCGTGAGCACAGCCGCAACGCTGATGAGGGGTTTGATGCGCATCGGCAGGCGCCTGCGCAGGCAGAGGCTGCGGCGCAGCACCCCCAGGCCGCCTCCACCGACGAGCCGCCCAGCGCCGCTGCCAGCCGCAGCACCGGCGCGCCGCCGCACGCCGCCGCCGCGGCCGGCGCACCGCGGCGGCTGCCGACGCTGCCGGATGTGTGGCCCCCTGAGGACGCCTTGGCCGACCCCAGGGCCAAGGCCGCCGCGTTCAACGGCGTCCTGGCGCTGCTGAAGGCAGTGGAGTCAGACAGTGCGACGTGTGTGCTCGTCTTTAGGGCGCTGAACAAGCAGCTCAGGGACCCGGCGCGTGCGGCGCACTTTTTTGCTGTGCCTTACCAATTTATGCGGTGGTGCTGCGCCGAGGGGGACGCGGAGGGGGTGAGGACGGCGCTCCAGGCGGTGGCCATGAGCGCAGAGCGCTGACAGCAAGCCCCGGCGGGAGCTGCGCCACCGCGGCGGCCGGGGCGGGAAGCTCGCTGGGCGTGGCGGCGGGATGGGACCAGGAGGTGCGGTGCCGTTGGCCGCGCGGGTGCAGCGTTGGCATTAGGGGCGTGGCAGGCTGACAACTCTGGGTCGGCTGGCTGATGGTGAACGCCAATCAACCCCCGGGCTAGGTATTGTGCCATTGTCATGCATGACAATGGCACAACACCACCAGAGATACAGGTCGGCTGGCTCAGCCACAACCCAACAGGGCCGTGCATGTTGCAGGGATTTCATGCGTGACTAGCATGCAGGAGAGCACGCGGCTATCCAACCACCATGATCGCGTGGCAGTGAGCGCTCTGGCGGCGGAGCCTTAGCAGGGAGGGGGCGTCACGCTTGACCGTTGCACTGATCGCGCCCAATAGACTTGGCTTCCTATGCAGATGGCAACGTAAGGGTTTGCTTGCAGATGCTGTGATGTGCCCAGCGTCCCTTTTTGACATGTTTGTGTCATGTTTGCGCATTATTGTGCATTACGTGGCAACGCCCGATGTATTCACAACCCAGCATTCAGGTCAACCGAACTTTCAGACGCGTATCAGATCTTGGATGTCCCTCTTGAGTGTGTGTGTGTGTGTGTGTGTGTGTGTGTGTGTGTGTGTGTGTGTGTGTGTGTGTGTAGCTCCTCTGCGTGATGGCAGTAACTACGTACCACCCAGAAACGGCAAGTACGGTACCGCACCCGCCCGTGCAACACGCTCAAGGTGGTGCACGCCAAATGCCGCGATGCACGGTTAACATTCCCGGTTTGGGCCCAAGTTGATCTATCAGAGCGCCCACTCACAGCGCGGAGCGGAGCGCACTTGTGCCTGTGCCATCGTCGGTGCTGATTTGACCCTGTAAACCCTGCCTTGAATTTTTTGTTTTGAGTCCCCTTCCCATCAGGCTGGGCAACAGGCTGCCGTTATCAGGCAAAGCATTATTAGTGCAACCCTCTGATAAGCTGCAAATCGTCCTGCTATGACAAACGCACTTATGCTGCTGCATGCACGCAGGCAGCAGACCGCTCAGCCTGCCAGGAGCACTGCTGTTTACACACAGCCTTAATCCGGTGGGACATAGACCGACTGTGCGTACTTGCGCGAATCCGGCTGGGCAATCTTGGCCAACAGTGGAGATGCAGGTGCCAGAGGGCGATCGCGGGTGCGTAAGGGGGATGCAGCTGGATGCGGGAGATGTCTATGTCAGCGTGAGGCTCTGCTTTCGGGGTCACCAGCTCAGGGTCACGAGGCAGTGTGCAGTGACACTGCCTGTCAAGTACTAGCTACCAATGTTTGGGGTTTGTGTGTCAGGAGGTGCACGGCAACTGGTAAAACGGGTCGAGGGTGGGACGTCAGGGCGCTTTGCTGGCAGGGAAGAGGCGTCAACCAGACTAGGCACCCGCGGCTCTTGAGCCGCGTGGCGACGCGCCTGAAGGGCTGAGGAGTGTGGGGCCACGGTGCGGTGGCTGGTGTGTCACCACTTCAAGGTGGTGGCGGACAATAAGGAACAAGGGGTATCGTCCTGGTTGGCAACAGGAATAGGCACACCAGGAATAAGCACGCTCGCCTGCTGCCTGCAAAGGGTGCAAATCGGCCTATCCGTAGCAGTCACTGCAGGTATGTCTCGGATGGTTGCTGTGAGAGCGTTTGACCTGGGTCCTCCTTCCTTGGACTCCTGTCTACCGCTGTTTGAGCTCAAGTAATCTGATCTAGCTGTTGATGCAGTGTCTTCTCAGCCGCGCTGCGCGATGCCCGTGCGCGAGGTTATGATGTCGACAGCTGTCCGTCCGACGGGCGCCACAAGCCAGCGCTTGCTAGCCGCCGCAGCCTCGGCCAGCTGGACGGGCGGCGGCGGCGGCGCCGCTGCTGGAGCGCGCGCCGCTGCCCAAGCGCTGCAGACGGGCTGTGATTTGGGCCTCAATAGCGTCGATCTCTTTCTCAAAATCGAGATCGTCCACGCGCCGCTGCTTTGGCTTCGTCGCTGGCGCCGCCGGCGGCAGCAGTGTTCGCGGCGCTGCGGCTGCCGCTGCCCCGCCGCCGCTGCTCAAGGCGCCAGCGCCTCCAGCAGAGCCCATGCGCCGTCCGCCGCCGCCGACCGCACCCGCCGCGCTGACGGCGCGCTGGCCGCCGCCGCCATCGCCGCCCGGCCCCACCCCAGGGCTGCTCGCGCCGCGAGCCGCCAGCAGTGCTGCCGTCGCCGCCGCCCTCTCCCTCTTGATTTTCGCAAGCACCGCGGCCACGTCTGCCGCAGCCCCCTGGGGTGCCCCGCCCAAACCAGTTGCGCCTGCTGGCGGCGATGGGGCTTCCTGCCGCTGCTGTGTTGGAAGGTCCCGGAAGGGGTTGCGCGGGTCCGATGCGACGACGTCATCGCTGCCGCCACTCGCCGCTGGTGGCTCCGCAGCCATTTGTGGAACCGGCCATGGCGCCGCCGCCGGTTGGCGCTGGGCGGGGGCCGATTTTGTTGGGGATGGCGAAAGGAACGGGTTTCGCGGATCAAAGCCTGGAGAGCGGGCCGACGGCGGCGGCGGCGGCAGCGGGGTAGCCGGCGTTGCTTCCGCGGCTGAGGGTGGCGGGGAAGATGGCGGCGGCGACACAAAGGGGTTAGGAGCTGGGGCAGGCGCTGTCGCTGGTGCCTCGGCGGCGGCGCCGCCTGCCCTCTCTGGCAATCCGGTGGCAGGTGAGGGAGACAGGAAAGGGTTGCGATATCCAGATTCTGGGGCAGAGTCTTTGCTGCCAGCTGTTACGCCGCCGCCGCCATTGTCGCCGCGGGCCGGGGATGAGGGCGCTGGCGCAGTCCGACGGTGCCGCGTCGCGCCCAAATGATGTTGCTGCTGTTGCCGCTGCTGCTGCTGCTGCTGCTGCTGCTGCTGCTGCTGCTGCTGCTGCGACTGAGCCCTGGCAGCCGTCTCGCTGCGCGGCTGCGGGGCGGCTGGCGGCGGGCGCTGGTGTTGGTGAAGCCCCGCATCGCCGCCGTCCGACAACCTAAGGCTGCAGCCACCGCCATCAGCGGCGGCAGCGTGTCCCGGCGCGGCAGCAGAGGGGCCGCCTCGCCGCTGGGCAGCAACAAAGCCGGCCGCAGGCGCGCCGCCGCCGCACCCCCAGCCCACCGGCCGGGCCGACAGGCTGCGCCCCAGCCCGCGCGCGGCGGCAGGACGGTCGCAGCCGGACCCGGCTGGTCGCTCTGGGAGGGCCTGGGGGCCGCTGCCAAAGCTCCTGCCCGTGCTTGCGCCGCTGGTGAGCGGCCCCTGCGCCGTCCCTGGTGCCGCCGCTGTCACCGCCGCCGCCGCGGCGACGGCGTCAAAGCTGCTGCTGGCGAGGTGCGCCCTGCGGCTGGCAGCGGAAACTGGAGGTCGCAACATGCGGCGGGGCGGCTGCGGCCCGCTGGCTGTTGGATCGGGTTGCTGCGCGCCGCTGCCCCGCCCGCGCGAGCTGGTCAGCGCCGAACGCAGCGGCGAGGCAAGCACCGGGTCCGACGCCCCCCGCCCGTGCAAGGCGACGGCGCTCAGCCGCAGCTGCGGCACAGCCGCAGCCACGGCTGGCGTGGGCGCTGCGGCGGGGGCCCCTCGGGACCTCGCGCCGCCCCACTCCTCCGCAGCCTCGGGAGCAGCGCGCTCCAGCAAGCGCGGCGGCGAGCTGTGGGGGCCGGCGGCAAGCGCGTCGCACGGCCCCCTGGCGGGGCGCGGCCAGTCCGGGCTCGACCTGGCGTCCGACAGGCCAAAAAACGGCGCGGGCGGGTGCGGCGACGGCGCGTCAGCGCTGGTGGCTGCCGCGGGGCAGAGCTGTGCAGCTGCTGCCGGTGCTTGCCCCTCCAAACGGGGCCGGTTGGGGCTGTCGAGGTAGCCCTCATCGCTGCCACCGCTGCCGCTGCTGCCGAGGTCGCTGCTGCCGCTCCTGTGACCCTGTTCACCAAGCCGAGGGCCTTGGGGCGCCGCTCGCTGCTGCGAGGCCCACGCCTCTGGCGGCGCTCCAGGGCCAAGGGCACTCGATGCCGCCCGATCCGGTGTCCCGCTCGGCCCCGCCTGCGGGCCAGCCTCCGCGGGGGGCCGCGACGCCGTCACTGCATCCGTTGTGGCGCTAATGAGGACCTCCTGCAGGGGGTGCGTGGCGCCGCCTGTGGGCTGCGCCTGCGCCTGCTGCAGGGAGCTCGGGCTTGGCGCGCTGCTGGCCTGCACTGGGCCAGTGCCGCCGCTGCCCCAGGTGCCCCACTCGCTGCTGGAAGGGTACGAGTCGACCGCAGGCAGGGCGGCCGTCAACGGAGAGGACTTGCGAGCGCCTGCTGACGTGGGGCCATGGCTTTGTGTGCCTCGGCTTTGCAGGTCATCCTCCGATTCCTGCTGCTGCTGCTGCTGCTGCTGCTGCTGCTGCTGCTGCTGTTGCTGCTGCTGTTGCTGCTGCTGCTGCTGCTGCTGCTGTAGCAGCCCCACTGGCAGCGCCGGAGGCTGCGGCTTGGGTGGCAGGGCAGGGGCCGAGCGCCCCTGCGTCTGCTCTCGAGAGTCCTCAGGTGCGCCGTCCCGGTCAATGCCGTCGGGGCCGCGTGAGGGCCGGGTTGCTGGGTCGGAGACGGCCCCTGTCAATGCGGGGACAGCTGCGTCACCGTTCTGCAGCTGCTGCTCCTCCTCCGGCCCCTGGCTATCTCCCTCAAAGGCTACGGCAGCAGCTGCCGCTGCGATCGGCAGAACAGGATTGAGGATAATGAGCGGCGTCTCGACGCCAGGTCGACGCAAAGCGCAGCGTGCCCGGGCTGTGGCAGTGTCCGGTTGCCGAGCCCGGACGCAAATGTGCGACGCGCCACCCGCACAGCATATGGTATCCCGTACAGTACGACTGCATCATTTCCTGCGATGCTCACCACCTTTCGGCAGAAAACAGGCGTTCCCCATCGTCCAGGCGCGGCGTCAACAATGTCCAAGTCTGGGCTCGTCCGCGGGCCACGGCGCCCCTAAGAGTTGCTAGATGTACATGCTGGGATTGCGAGAGCGCGTGCGCGGGTGGTCAAGCAGAGATCTGATGCTAAGAGAAGCTCGCAGCTCGCGGCTTGTCAGGGGTACAGCGAGAGAGCAATATCAAGTAAGCACTTTGCGGATGCAATCGTGCTCGATGTCCAAGACCACTGGGCTGATGGGCACCGCGAACACACACACCGCTGCTGCCAACGGGGCGGCTACAGCACAGCCCGCGGGGGCTGCAACGCAAAAGAGCGGCTACAGCACAGCCAGAAGTTGCGCTCGCTCATGTGCCAACTGTCCTGGGCCATGAATGCGGGCGTCTCAAGTAGTTTGGTGCAGTCAGGTGTAAGGACCAGCCTGGCTTGCGAAGCAAGGGCCTGCAGCAATCTGCACATCCCACTCTAGCAGTACCCACTTTGCATGCGAACTCTACTTTTGCTGCGGCAATATGGCACCCATGGTTCAACACACCATCATGCTTGCATTGGTGGTCAGCTCCTGTCCAAATCAACACATCAGGGCCGTCAGTGGGTGCTTTACAGGTGCCTGGCACGCTCGCGTGGAGACAGTTGCAGTGCAGGCGTGCAAGGCGGCTCGGGACGCGTGGCACCCCGGATCAACGCGATGGATTGCTGCGCACGAGGCCGTTGACCTGCAGTGAACTCAGCACCTTGCGGCATCGAGCGCGGCGCTGAAGCTGCGCGTCTGCCGCACCACGGAAGTCTGGGGGGGTGCGAATGAATTAGCATGGGTGTGCCTGCACCACGGGCCTGGTATTGGGGGCGGTGCATGGTGCCAGGAAGGCTTGTTGCGACCGCTGCCTCGAACCATGGCCCACCACGCTGTGCATGACACACAGCACAATGAGGGCAACGAAAAAGTTCCAGAGAAGGTCTGAAATTCTCCAACAGTCACCCGGACAGCACCCAGACTCCCATGGACACGTCAGTCGCCTCCCAGCGGTTGGTCCTGCTGAGGTGGCGCCAGACCGCCAAATCCGGTGCCATGTGACGGCTTGCAACCACACTCTCCCGCCCTGTAAGCACAAGTCGCACAGCCTCACTGCAAAGCGGGCTGGATGCTCTCACACGCAACCACACGCATGTACATGCACGCCATAGGGCGCCAGCGCTCGCCTCTTGGGGCGGCGGCCCCAAGAGCACAGCTGCAGGGGCATCAGCGGCAGACTGTCAGTCACACCACCACCGCAGCGGCCACGGCAAACTCAGGGGCGAACCGGCAGTCGCGCCTCCTCCGCGGCAGCACTAGCTGCTGCTCGGCGCGTGGCCGTTGACGCCGTTCGCCTCGCCGCCCGCCGCTGCGGTGATGGGCAGGCCAGAGATTGAAAATTTGGAGCTGTAGGCCGCCTCCTCGGCCGCCGCGCGCCGCTTCTGTCGGACGACGAAGAAGGCGACGATGCCGCCGATGATGGCGAGGCCGCCCACCACGCCCCCGACGGCGCCGCCGATGATGGCGCCCATCTTGCTGCTGCTGCCGCTGGACGCGTTGTCGCCGAATGTCTGACGGGGGGTGGTGTGATGTTTGTCCGGGTGTGGATGCATATGAAGACATGCACCGCCAACATCTGCACAACCCAATGCCACAGATTTGGGCAATGCATGCGGCAGGCGTGCGCATCCAGGCCACAACCAATCGTGCAGCAGAACCAATCGGGGCCTGCCAGGCATGCAGGCGGATGCTGACGCGCAGGGCCAGCAAGTCGCAAACCCGTGCACACGCAAGCTTGAAGGCGCTGCCTGCGGCCCTTCCTTGGGGCGCGTTCGGCCGGGCCGGCCTCACCTCGGTGACGCTCTTGGCGTAGCCGTCCTTGACGGCGGCCCATGAGCTGTAGTCCAGGCCACACAGCTGGTCGACCCCCGTGGGGCAGCCCCCGGTGGTCGACACGCTGGCGTTCCGCACCCAAGAGCAGGCGGCAGCCTTGAGGGCAGCGGCCTGCGCATCAGACCCCATGAACATGACCTGTGCGTGTGTTGGGGTTGTGTGGGAGGGAGGTGAAGGTTGGCAAAAAGGATGGGCAGCGTTGGGGTGAGGTCGCCATGGGCATCAGTGAGCGGAGGCCAGTTGATGCTGTCGTGCTGCAATCCAGCTGCTGACCGACACCAAGGCAGGCGGGCGGCGCGGGCCGGCTTGCGGCTGGGCCGCTGCGGTCGCAACCTTTGAGGGCACGTCTGCATCTGCCTGCTTGGTGTCCCAGGTGCCAAAGGGCAGCAGCTGCAGGTCCATGGCGGTGCGCTGAGTCAGCATCACCAAGGAGTCCACGAGGGCGCTGGGACGGCGTGGTAGTGAGAGCAGGATGGAGGGGAGTGAAGGGATGTTGTGAGGGGGTGCAGGCGTCGCGCGTTGACAGGGGCTCACGGAGGGCCTGGGTTCGGGGGGTAGACGCTGGCGGGTAGGGGCACAGTCAAGGGCCTCGCGACGTCAGGGGTGGTGCGTCCCGTGGCAGGCAGGGCGGGCGCACTCACGAGTGGCCCGCGTCGTTGGGGGTGGAGCCGTCCGCGGCGACGACGGCGCGCGACGCCAGGAGGCCGTTGGTGGTGAGCTGGCCGCTGGGCCACAGGGCGTTGCGCATCGATACGTAGGGCACGTTGTAGTACCCGCTGACGGCCGCGTAGGCGGGGCTCTCGGGGGTCAGGTAGAAGGGGCGCGTCCCGTTGCCCATGCCGGGGGGCATGGTCTGGGGTGGGTTGCGGCGTTGTGGTTCAGGAATTGTGAATCGGGGGTGGGCGGATTGCAGGTTGCGATTGGATTGCACCCTTGCACTGCAAATCGAACATCCAAGACTGAGCAGCAGGGAGCTGACCACACAGGGCTCGACGTGGGCCCAGAAGCACCGGCATGCGCTCGCATATGCTGCACGCTGATGGGACCCACAAGCCCACCCACGACCAGCAGCCGCAATTCAACGCGTCGCCCCGCGCGCTCATCCCCAACGCACCCGCCCCAAACGGCCTCGCTCTGGCCCCGACCAACGTGCACGCGCCGCCGCGCCCCCGCACCTGCAGCATGACGACCGCCGGCTTCTTGGCGGCCCCCAAGATCTTCCGCACCAGGATCTCGTACGCCCGCGGCTGCACAGGGGCCACGATCGACGCGTCCATGGTGGCGCCGTCGCTGGCAGTCATCTCGAGGACCACCAGGTCGGCGTCTTTCGGCAGGAAGCGGTCCAGGCAACCCGCCACCACCGACGACGGCGCGAGCCCCGCCGACGCGCGGACGGGCGTGACCGTCGCGGCCGGGAACGCGCGGGAGAGGAAGGCGACGTACTGCGCAAAGTAGTCGTTGCGGCCTGGGGAGGAGGCGTCGGAGCCGTTGGTGGCGACGCCGCCGATGGCTACGACCTTCACTGCCTTGCCGGCGAGCAGGTCGGCCACGACGCGCCGCAGGCGGCCGTTGCCACCGGTGTACACGTTTGAAGAGAGGATCCCCTGCAGGGGCGTCGAGAAGGAGTGGGCCCCGGACAGCGCCGCGCCCGTGGCCGCGCCCGCGGTTGCGGAGATGGTCTTCTGGTAGGACAGCCACTCAGTCTCCTGCGCCGGCGTCAGCAGGGCGGTCGCCGGGAGGGCCGCGGCGGCCAGGAGTGCCAGGAGGACGGCAGCCGCGGCGGCGGCGGCGGCGGGGCCGCTGCGTCGATGGGCCATGCGGCCGCAGGCCTTGGCGCTTTCGGCAGCTGCCCTATGGGGATGCGCCAAAGGGCCTGGCGCCGCTGAGTGTTGACGTCCTGGCCTGGCACGCAGGCTCTTGAATTGCGCTTCCAACCTGTTGATACGTGGGACAGCATGAGGAAATTGACAAAAAGCTAGCTCAAGCCCCGTAGTGCGGGTGTTCAGCGGCGCCCCGCGCGCGCGCCCAAGCGGCGGGTACTCCCGCTTCCGTTTGTCTCACCGCCCGCCACGGGCCACCGTTGCGCTATAAATGAAGTGATACAGTTATTAGTCCAACAAACGCTCAGGAGCTCTCACCCACCCGCTGCAAGGGCCGCACAAGGTGGCGCTTCGTCCGTGGTGGCTCACCCTGGTGAGTCCGTCACAAGGGGCTCTCAGGCGGCGAGATCGGGCGTATTGCAACCTTATCAAGATGAAAGAGCAGGGTATGCATCGAAACGCTATCCAGGGGCTACAATAGGAAGCCACAAAGGCAAAACTCTCCCAACTGCTCGATTCTTTGCTTCTCCCCCAAGCGCGATGTTGGTTTCGCGCTTGAATTATTGCATCCAATACACTTATTGCAGCTCCAACCTCGTCCACGGGCGGAACGCTCGGGTCACCCCATCAGCCACCGCGCAGGCTCGGTTCTTGTCCTTCTCCGCTGAGCCCAGTGCCTTACCTTCAAGCTGATGCAAGGTTCAAGCATCACATAAATCTCACGCATAAACACCGGAGGCGTGACTCTCTAAGCAACCGCAGCAGGGCCCAAGCGCACACGTGCGCCACGCCGGCGCGCGCACACTCACGCGACCGCTGAGGGGCAGCAACTGCCATCAGCAGCCGCCACCATGCACGCTGCCGCCCGCACCCTGCGCGCCGCCGTGCTCGTGGCGGTGCTGCTTGCAACCGTCGCGCTCGCCATCGAGCCGGCTGAGTGGGCAGTCTACCGCGGCAACATTGCCAAGCTGCCTGCGGCAAACGGCGCGGCCACGGTGGGCGAGACCCTGGGCGCCTTCCTTGACTACAAGTTTGACCTGCCCATGGAGTTTATGCGCCGCGCCCAGGTGCGGTGTCGTGCGCCGCAGCAGTGCGCTTTTAATTACGGACGGTCGAGGGCGGGCATGCTGTCCGGCGGTTGATCCAGCTTGGGGCCTGTCGGGTAATTTGGGCCGCTGCTACCAGCTTTGGGCGCGCCGGTACGCGCCTTCAGGGGTGCAGTTCTATGCACGGCTGCTGCGCAACACGCCTGAAGGGTCACACGCGGCCATGCACAGCTGCCGTTCACCTTTGACCCGCCACCTCGCCCCCTCGACACTTGCCCTCCCACTTGGCACCCCACTCCTGCCTCCCCACCCCACCCCTCACCTCCGCAGTCCTACAGCGGCCCCCGCACGCGCCTCCGCCGCGTCATGTCAGACATGCTCTCCGGCAAGAAGGTCGAAATAGACATCCTCGGCGGCTCCGTCTCCGCCGGCGCCGTCGCAACGCGCAAGATGGACCCGGTCAACCCCAACGACGTGTGGAGCCTCGTCAGGATCGCCCTCCAGAAGGGCGTCTCCCCCAAGATCTCGTTCTTCAACAACGCGCGGTCAGCCACCAAGTCCTACATCACGTCCCTGTGCATCGACAAGTTCCTCAACGCGACTGCCGACCTCGTGTTTGTGGAGTTCATCGCCAACGACGGCAGCGAGATGGACATCCTCGTCACGCCGCCGCAGGACAAGACGCGCTCCTTTGAGCGGTTCCTGCGGAAGATACAGCAGCAGCCCTCCAGCCCGGCGGTCGTCATGATGCAGGCGCGCGGGCGCGGCCCCTGGGGGGGGGGGGACGGGGGGCGACGAGCGACGGGGCACGCGCGTTCCCGGTGGCCAGCGCGGCCCCACAGCCAGCAGGCGTCGGGGATGACCTCATAGAGGGGGCGGCCGCGTCTCTGTATCTCGGCCCGTGAAAGAGCCGGGGCTCCTGCCGCCGCTGCGGCTTCAAACCCCCTCTTTGACCCCGCTGCGCCGCCCTGCACACCGGAGACGCCCCCAACACCCCGACGAGGCCCGCTGCATACGCCCCCTCCCCGACCCAAACGTGCAGATGCTCGTGAGCGAGATGGCCCTGCCCCCGGGCGGCCGCGATGGCAAGGCCAAGCGCGGGTTCTTCGCCACCCCCGAGGACAATTATGGCAACCTGGCCCAGTACTACGACATCCCCACCATCTCGTTCAGGTGCGTGGCATCACACGGGCCGTCGTTCCAGCCGCCTCAGGCTGCATCGTATTTGCGGGAATCTGGTGTTCCAGGAGCGTGCCTTGCCGCACAGCGCTGCGATGTGCCGCGGCCCGCATGCATGTGCGTCTCGTGGGCGGAGAAGCCCCGCACTTGTGCCTTCGCTGGCCCGTAAACCTCAATCCCGCATGCCGCGCCGCGCCCCGCCGCAGGGACGCCCTCTGGCAGCTGGGCGACAATGGCCGCGACGGCATGTCCTGGGACGACTTCATGGGCCCCGACCGGCTGCACCCCAACGACAGGGGCCACCAGCTGATGGCCGACATGGTGATCTACCTGCTGCAGCAGACCGCGGTCGACCTGCTGCTGCGCCCGGTGACGCTGGCGGAGGTCGCGGCCTCCAGGGCGCCGCTGCCGCCGCCCATGTATGACGGTGAGGGCTGGCGCGCACCTGGGGGTACCCGCCCCTGGGCCTCTTGCGACCCCTGCACCAGGGGCACTCGCGTTTGCCGCCCCTCTGAGCAGCCGGCGCACCGCGCCGCTGGGCAGACAGACCCTGTTGCAAGGGGCATCCGTGCATTTGCCTTCTGCCGTTGGGACCTTTGACCACCGCTCACGAGGCGGGCCTGCGCTGGGAGATGCTGTGCAGGCAACGAGGGCAGCAAGGACCAGATCTGCGCCCAGGGCAAGTCCATGACTCGGTTCGTCATCGCCAGCCAAGGCTGGGCGGTGAGTCCCTGGCTGCGCGGTCTCATCAAGCGGCTGGGGCGGGCGTGGTGCGGCGCTCCCCGACTAGGGGCGGTGGCAGCGCAGCCTGCAGGCGGTCCACAGGCCCCTTGCTGGCAATTGGCCCGCTTGAGAAGCATCACTCCTTGTTGACTCTTGAACGACTGGTCTGCGCACACCCAACGCCGCCCCTGTATTCTCACCCCCTGGCCCCCCTGACGCAAACACACGTCGCGCATTGCCGCCACCCAACCGGACCAACGCCACCCCAGGTCGTCTCTTACGATGACGGCGGCCAGCACTTCCCGACATTCGGCTACGAGACCACCACCCCCGGCGTGCCCTTGGTGCTGCAGGTCAGCAAGCCCTGCCCGCCTGCGAGTGCTACTAGTAAAGCCCGCCCACACGCACTGGGGCTCGGGTGTGCAAAGCCAAGCCCTGTGCTGCAAGGCGCGAGCCGGGTCGAGAGAAAAGCGAAAGAGGGTGTTTTGTTGCTGGTCTGCCAACGTGCTCGCCGCCTGCCAAGCTTGCCCCCGCAGCGGCCACCGCTGACGTCTGCCCCCTGGTCCCCGCTTGCCCTGGCCGCCTCGCAGGTCGACACGACCACCCCTGCGGGCGGCGTGCGCGGCGTGGTGCTCACCTACACCAAGGCCAAGACCGGCTTTGGGGACGCCCAGGTCACGTGAGCCACAGCTGCGGCCCCAACGCCCCCACCGCCTCCGCCCCACGCCCCACGCCCCCCGCCCGCGCCTCGGGCCGACGCCGCAGCCGCAGGCCCATCGTTCGCTCAACCCCCTCCGCCTCTTCGTCCCCGCCTCGCAGCTGCGGCAACGGCTGCACGTGCGACGCCAACACCCTGGGGGGCTCCGTGACGTACGACCAGACCGTGCTGTTTCTGCAGGAGGTGCACCCCACGGCCAGCCCCCAGTGCCAGATCACCATCCAGATGGACAAGGCCAGCCCCGCGGGCAGCAAGATCAGGATCTCGGGGATCGCCATCACGGGGGACACGGGAGATGTGTCGGGGCGCGTGGGAGAGGTGCGAGGGCGGGCCGTGGCGCGCTGCGCGGGGATGCAGGGACTGGGGAGAAGACAAGGAAACTGTTGGCACCTGTGGCGTTTTGTGGGTGTGGGTGGGCGGAGCACGCAGGGATGATGAGCACTGTGCTCCTCCAGACCCCCGGCGCCGGCTTGCCCCGGGTCAAGGGCGCTACTCGTTTTACACAGCTGGCAGAGCCAGTCCTCGATCATGTGACTAAAAAAGGTCAATCAGCAGCAAATGTCCGCCGCGACGAAGCCTGTGTCACCGCCCCCTTGTGTTGTCACCCGCAGGAGAAGTACATGTCCTGGCTCACCGGTGACAAGTGGGCGGCCTGATGGACGACAGCTCAGCCTCCACGAGCACGCTCCATGCACCACCATGCAATCGGCGGGTGTCGAAGTACGCGTCACCATGCGCAGTGGGGCCCAGTTGCGTGCGGTGCGCGCCGCCCAGGCGCTTGCAAAGTGAGGCCTTTCCCGCTACACAGGTCAACACTTCCATGCAGCAGCGTGTTGGCGTCTGAGTCTGATCATCGCCCCCTTGGGTTGTGGCTGGCTCATCGCCCCAGTGTTGATACCCTTGCCGAGTGATGACGTGGACCTCACTGCCCGTTCCAGGCAGCCCTCTGGGCCGCGGTCTCCTGCAGTGCTCCTGTGGGATTTAAGACGAGGGCGCCCTTGTTTGACGTTTGCCTGGATCGCTCTCTGTGTTTCTGATGTGTGTCGATGGAGCCGATTGGCTCTTGACCCAACTCAAAGGTGCACGCACACCGCAGTCATCTCTCCTGTGACCAGCCGCATTAGTCTTGGTGCAAAAGCAGAACCAACCGTATTGCTATGGAGGGGTGTCATCCCCACATGCACCGTCTTTGTTTGCCTGCAGCACCGCCGGCCGCTGCGCGGGCTTGTAAAGGGCCTGTCAAACACACGGCTGCGCCCAGCAAGACGCCTGCAGTACGTGAGGCAGGTCTCTCGGGGTGTGGCAGGCCCCATAGCACCATCAGGCAGGCGGGAAGGCGACGCAATCTAGTACACCTGTTGTCTGGCCTTGCCTCCTTGGTGACCACTCTCGTTGGCAGATGTAGATCCGTCTCTGACTCATCTGCGAGCCACGTGCGGTTTTGACATCTGAGCTGCAAACGGCTCGGTGTTTCTGGGGAGCTGTCGCCAGGGGGGCTCAAAGCTCGACCAATGCAATTCCCTTTGATTGAGACAGCCATAATTCTGTGCCTTTGCCCTGAGCCATCTGGCCAACTGGGACTGCCTGTCTGGCCACTACAGCTGCCCTGAGCTGTCAGAGCCCCCTCGTTGCAGTTTGTGTATTTTGCACAGTCCCAAAAACTGGAAGCACAGCCCCCAAAAAACGTGTGCGAGTACTACCTGCCAGGAGTAAGCCGCCCAGCAACAGCGCGCAGCGCCCCGAGGGCAGACTGACCAAAGAGGACAGCAACCGCCAATCAAGCAACTTTGCCGCAGCTGTGCAGCTTCGCACAGTGGCAATAGCACCAACCTCGCCACCTGCCAAGGTGGCCTGCAACGCCGCACAGCCTCTGCGTGACCACCCGCGCCTCGCCGCATGCAGGCGTGGGGAGCCCTGCATGTCGTCCCGCGTGCAGTTACGCGTGCAGTTCGGGCGGCGCGGCGCCGGCCTTGTGGCCGCCGAGTGCCTCCACGATCAGCTCCGCTGTGAGGGCTGAGCTGCTGGGGTTCTGTCCAGTGACCAGGGGGAAGGGCGGACGCGCGTCCAGCAGGGCATGGACACCCCAGTTCTCCTTGGCCTGTTCATGTGCGCGCATGGAAGCGTGCATTGCGCGCGTGTGTGAGACACCGGGCGGCACGGAGGCGGGGAGCTGGGTCAGCGGGCAACGCGCGCATGGGTGGCGTGCTGCTGCGCATCACCCTCCCGGGTGCGCTGCAACAACAGGCACAGCGCTCCGACAAATTGCTGGTGTGGCGCCGCTCGCATATCTGAGGGCTTGGTGTCAGATCCTCTTGGAGCCAGAAGCAAAAGCATATGTGGTGCGCTCCCCCGATTCAGCGACCCGCATTTGATGCGTACATGCAGTCGCAAGTATGCAAGCGCAGACGCTTTCGCCCACAAACACACCTTGGTGTAGTTTGCCCCCAGCTCCTTGAGGCGCTCCTCCAGCATGAAGGGAATCAGCTTCTCCTTGGCAACAGCGTACTCCTCGGCGTCACTGAACCCGGTCACCTAGTGGGCGTCAACAGTGATTGACAGTTACATGTTCAGTGTTACGATGACAGTGGTCACGGGCTAGTCGGTGGATTCCTCCACCCCCAAAAGACCGGCCAGGGCCAGAGGACGTCGGGGGGGCAACCACTGCCAGCGCACCGCGCCGGCCTGCTGGCGGGGTTCCCGCGGGCTACCGATCCCGCCCGTGGCGCGCATACGGGAATCTGCCTTGGTCACGCGAAGACCCGCTCGAGCTCCCCCAGCGCCCTTGCGCGTGTGGCCCCCCACCTCGCGGCCCTTCACGATGGGCTGCCCCTCCGCGTCGGTCGCGTTGACGAGCCCGTTCGCCCCGTGGCACACCGCAGCCACCACCTTGCCGGCGCGCGCCAGGCCGTTGACCACCTGCGGCAGGCGGTCGGCGTTTTATTGGCGTTGACCGTTTGCGCACGCGAACGTGCAAGTGTGGTGTGGGACAGGAGGGGGGCTGGCGCTACGCATCAGCGTCAGCAGACGGCCACCGCACCGCAGCCCTGAAAACACCCGGTGATTGACCAAGCCTTGACGCTTGTTCTGCAGGCCGCAGCAGCTTCAGCTGTGCAAGCCGGCCCTCCCTCCCTCAATTTAAGCAGGCTGATCAGCCTGCAAAGTCTGCTCTCTCTCTCTCTCTCTCTCTCTGCCTCTCTCTACCTCCCTCTCTCCCTCTCGTGTTGCAAATAATGCTGGCTTACTGCCTTGGTCATGAATGCCTGCGCGTGCCAGCCAGTTGGGCACCAGCAGACCCCCCGGCAAAACTCTTTGGCTATTTGTGCCCCACGCTCACACCTTGATGATCAGTTCGTTGTCAGCAAAGTCCCAGCAGGTGCCATGGCCCCCAGGCTGCGCGCAGTGCAGCGGAGAGAGCGGAAGGGGGCCGATCATGGCCGCACAGTAAGCATGGCGCCAGAGCAGGTGCGGCGGCACAGCAGCCGACATGCACACGCCGCCGCGCTGTGCTGCAGACAAATTCACGAGAGCACCAGCGGCCCCTTGCTCTGGGGTGCGGCTCGCCACTGCTAATCACATCACTGCGTGGCTGCAAGGCAGCCGCAGCCACCTGGCGCTGCAGCCTCTTGCACCAGGGTGCACGTCACTGCTGGCGCCGTGCACCATGGATTGCAACCCCCAAGCCCACCAGGAACACTGCGTCGTACGACGCCCAGTCCGCCACGTCAGCCAGGGGGACGCTCTCCAGGACCTGGGCCATGGCGGAGTCTGGTTCGCAGGCAGGGGTGCGGGGCGAGGGGAGGGGAGAGGGGCGGGCTGCTGGGTGGGCGCAGGCAGCCAAAATCAGGGGGTGGAGAAGAGCTGCCGCGCTCACTGGTGCGGCGCCCCTTGCGCATTGCGACACGCCGCAACCGCCACGCGCGCCAGGCCGCGGTCGTCCCTGCCCAGTCTCCCGGCCCCAGCCCGGCCAACCCAGCAGCTGGCCCAGCAGCTGGCCTGCCCCTGAACTGGGCCGCGGCGCGCGCCGCACCGTCCAGCAGGAACTTCTCAACCTCGGGCGTCACGAACGGCGCCGCGAGCGAGGCCTCGTCCACGGGGATCTCGCCGCCCTTTGTCGATGACACGGTGACCTCCAGGCCGTGCGCCTTGAAGATCAGGTAGGGGTGCGCCAGCTGGCAGGGGGGGGGTGTAGGGGCGCAGCTGTTGACTGGGGGCGTGCGGCCGGGGCAGCTGCCAAGGGGTTGTGATGGGTGACGCCCTCAGCTCGGGCCGCGTGCCCAAGCCTCTGAGGGCGCGCGGCGAGGGCTGTGGCGGGGGCGCGCTTGGCCAAGCCGCTGTTGACGAGGAGGCGCGCGTGGTCAACCTCCATACAAGGCAGGTCGGTGTTTATATGTGTGTGGGGCGCTGCACCGGAGGCTCACCTCCTCCATCCTGGCAGGGGGGCAGGCAGGGCAAATGAAGCGAATGGGTTGGTGGATGAAGCTGCCTGCACATGCATGGCTTGAGCGATACTTATCCCTCCCATTGCTGGTTTCACTGCGTGCTTCTCTGCATGCAGTCCGCGCCCTCGCCCCTCGCAACAGCATCGCCGCGCCGTCTGAGCATCCAGGGTGCCGCCGCTGTCTCACCACAGGCCTGTCTTCTCGTTCGTGTCGCCAAGCTTTTCATGACTTGTGGAGATTATGAGCACGCGCTTGCCGGCCACCATCGTTCCGGATGCGATGCTGCGATCGATCTTCTGATCTGACGCTGTCGGGGTCACGGTGATAGTATAGTATGAGTGCGGGTTATTTTCTGGCGTTGTTTCTTGAGGCTTTAGTACTTGCTCACTGTTTGCGGAGCTAGGGTTGGTGGCTGGTTGGTGGGGTGGTTCAGTGCCCCCAGTGGGCTGGCGGCAAGTGGCCGTACGGTACTGCTCCTGCCACCGTGGCCGGCCGTGCTTGAGCTGTGGCAGCCGCACCCAATGCACGAAGTGCTGCTCGGCACAATGTTCATTGTCGCGTCCCCAAACAGGAATTTGATGTGAAAGGTGATCGCTGCACGCGTGCCGGGCGGGGGCAGCTACACAGACACACGGCACACACTTGCCAACAAGGCAAATGGCTGCACAGTTTTGTTGGGTTATGAAGATACACAGGTGAAATTGCAGACTTGTGGGTCAACAAAACGTCAGAAGCTGCAAGAATAGGTGTGACTTGTGCCATCATCAATGAGGAGATGCCAACAATTTTTGAGGACGTGCACTACGGCTGTTGCTGTTTCTTGGCGTTTGGACATCGCTGTGCTACACGGGACCTACAGGTTGTTGGTAGGTCATGCGTGTTGCGGCATTGTCAAGGCAGAGCCGGCACCCGGCCGCAACACTCGGGACGACCAGCGCAAGTGAGAAGAACGGCAGAATGAAAAACCCTACGCGAACGGTCACAAATGAAGACTGATATACGAAACTCCCAAAAAGGGATCCACAGCACCCTAACGAGGATCGAGGACTAAAAGGCAGCGGGCAACATTACCGTACCGCGTTTGACCAGCCTGATGGAGCGCCAATCATGTTGACACAAAAGCAAAGTATCGTAAGATAATAGCCGGAATATCGAAACCTGCATGGCTCATGCAGGTGCGTGGCAGCAGCCACAGCCAGCTGCAGTTCGTTTGGGTTGATGCCTTCAAACGAGGAGACCAGTTCCCACCAAAACTGTATCGTGAACAATCTGAAGTCTCACAAGCATATCTGTCCGAGAGTCAACTCGCCCCCACTCGGCCTTCACCTGCAGCCCGCGCCAAAAAGCGCCGTGATGGGAGCCTATGGGAGCAAGCCTCTGAACAGCAAGGTGATAATAATAAAAGATGCCGATCGAAGTGGCCATGTTCAGCTGCAGGCTCAGGGGATGTGCTGCAGCCATCTGCACCTCAACACCCAGCGCCGCCGCTGCTGCTGCCACCGGCGCTAGTTGCCGCGAATCGAGTCAATCGGGCAGCTGTCACAGCACTCTCTCGGTGCTCACCTCTAATCGCGCTGCCCTGAACCGCACCTTTTCTTCCTGTGCAGCTGACCATTGACGCGTTAGATGACCTGTTTGTAGCAAATTCCTATTCCTCGCGGACAGTCGGCCAGCTTGGCGGCGCAGCACGCCTGCCCGCCGTGGCGCGCAAGATGCCAGCCCCGACCAACAAGCAGCCTCTGCTGCAGCAGCAGCACATGTCTGATGCCATAGGGTCGGGGCCGCTTGGGCAGGGCGCGCACAAGGGCGTGGCGGCGCGAGCTGCCAAGCCGCCACAAGTGCCCCCGCTGAGCTTTGGGGCGCGGCGCGGAGGCGGGGACGGCTACAGCACCACGGCGGGAGGCGGCAGCCATGCAACCGCGGACCAGGCCCTCAGCGCGCGGCCCCTCGGGTGCAGCGCGCCCGGCAGCCTGCCGCCCGTCTCTCAGGCCCGCGCCGGTGGCGCGGCGGCGACTGCGCGCGGCGCCTACGCCTGGCAGCAGAGCCAGCAGCAGGCCGGGGCGGCGGTGACGCAGCAGCATCAACAGAAGCAGCAGCGTACCCAGAAGCAGCAGCAGCAGCAGGAGCAGCAGCAGCAGGAGGAGCAAGGGAGTGGCGTGGAGATGGGACCTATCACGCCTGCTCAGGCCCTCAAGCGGTATAGTGACTACCTGACGTCCTTTGAGCAGAGCGAGGTGCTGCAGTACCACCAGGTGGGCACGCATGCTTGGAGGCCAGCAAGCGGCAGGGACGGCACTTTGCCATGGCAGGCGGTGGCAGCGGGGTCTCCTCCGGGAGGCAGGGAACGGGATGGACCACGCACGGCATCGCGCCAGCATTCCAGCAATGTCAGTGAACGTCTGGGGACGCGGTGGCAGCGGCTTGCCCGGCTCATGCGCACTTGCATGGCAGAGGCCGCTGCTATCCGCTCTTTCCAGCATGCGGCCAGCGGCGCACACCAGCGAGCGAGTCATCCAGGCCAGCACGCATCGCGGGCACACATCAAATTTGCATCACCGCCCGTCCCCGTGGCCCCCTCAGGTCTGGTTCCTGGGCAAGGCTGACGCGCTCAAGGTGCAGGGCAACCCCCACCTGTCTGCGACCAATTATGGCTACGACGACGACCGCGGGGACTACACAGTCACCACACACGACCACATCGCCTACCGGTGAGGTGCTGCGGCCGGCGCGAGGATCGCAGGGCACGGTGGTCGGGCGTCTCATGCATCGCAGCAGCCGCGTTGCTCTGACAGGGTCGTCTTGCCTAGCCCATTCACTGATACACTGCCATGTGTCCCACCGCTTCCGCCCTCCCTCAAGGTACGAGGTCCTGGGCGTGCTGGGCAAGGGGTCTTTCGGCCAGGTGCTCAAGGTGCTGGACTACAAGACTGGGCAGCACCTCGCCCTTAAGATCATCCGCAACAAGAGGCGCTTTCACCAGCAGGCACAGGTGCGGGTCGACGTTGCACGGCTGGACCACTTCAGAGATAGCTGGACCACATCAGAAAAGAGGACCACTTCGGCACGGCATGCCTCTGCGTCTGCTGCTGTCACGTGTGATGAGTCATCGGACTGTGGTGCGCCAAGCCGGGCCACGCGTTGATGCGATCCACATCAGACTCCTCTGTATTGGTGCACACACATGCAAACGCGCACAGAACAAACTGTACGCTCTCTTTCAGGACAAACACATACGCACACACTCTCTCTCTCACACACACACACACACACACACACACACACACACACACACACAC